TGGCGGGACCCGCAGAGAAACTCTCTAACTACAAATCGTGCCCACGTGGGGCGCCAGATATTGGTTTAATTATTATGGCAACTTCACGTAGTTAAAAAGGGAGGTTTATTTTGTGGGGTAACGTACAAGTGAAGGGATAGGTTACAGGGTCTGGGAAAGGTGTGGCACAGTCCAGCGGTGTTCTCTGGAGAACTCTGCTCAGTCTACCTCCAGCGTCCAGGATCCAGGAACCAAGAGAGCTGGCGCATCTGGATCTCGGGTCTTCAGGGGTCTTCTCTCAGCTCTGCCTTTTAGGCTTAACAGTTACCGAAGCCTTAAAGGGGATGGTACTTCCAGGTCAAAACTGGAACGGCTACCCACTACAAGTTGTTTTGTTTTGCTTTAGTAGTTTTTAAAAAGGTAGAAATTTCCTTAGTGTGGTGTTTCTCAGCTCATCCAGACTTCCCTGATGAACGTACAGATTGCATTCCTTTCTTCCATGTTACTTCTAATCCAAATGAAGCAGCTTCATTCCAAACAAACCACAAACAAGGGCTGATTTGTTCTCACGCTTTGCCCTCTCACCAATCTGAGATCCCCTGCCTGGACACCTGCTTCCCTTCTTAGACCTTCTTTTGCTGGGATATTGATCCTGGATAGTGATGCAGCATTTTTGAATGGTGTTCATTGAGGAGTAATCAACTTTCTTTTGTGTCACAAATCACTTTGAAAGGTAGGGGAAATACAGTGGGAAATGGCATGTTGCCTGTGTGTCCATGGCTAAGCCTCTGCACATAGGTTAGGCTCTTTTCCAGGAGGAACTCCACCAGTGCCCACCTTGATTGCGAGCAGGAGAAACGAGGCCCACCTCATCTCAGGATGAGAATTTATGAACTCTTCCCATTATGAAATGCTACTGCTTAAATATCCCAGATGGCCTACTAATTTTGGTGACAACTTTCCACTAACTAAAGTAGGCAGTTTTTTCAGGAAATACGTTTTCACTCTACGCAATGTGATTCTTTTCACTTTCAGTGCTTGATGTGAGTCCTATAAAGATTTCTATTTTTCCTGTGGTGCAGGCATTTCCTTAGCCTCTTCATAATCATTGCTTTTCCTAAAATAATTCTTGGTACAAAATTGCTATTCTGTTAATACTTTTTCATTTATGTCTAAAGGAATCTTTAAGCATTTTTTATGATCCTTTGTAAAAAAAAAAAAAATACGAATTTTCCAAGTTGTTAGAGAGGCGAACTCCTCAGGAAACCATTTCTCTCTAAGTCCAGGCCATTTTTGTGTGCTCTTTCCCTTGCCGTTGGTATGTGCCCAGGAGGAGCAGGAATGTTTCATCAGAATAAGTTTTCATATTGTTGTTTTCTCCACTCCGAGTGTTAGCTGATGAGTGCTTGTACCAGCTAGCTCTGAGAAGTTTTAATATTCTTAAAACTATTCGAGACATTGTAGGAAGTTAGATTCTTTTTCTGTGGTTTTAGAAGATTAATACATGCTAGATCCACTTAGTTTTGTAGTTAAAACCAAAAAAAAAAAATCTAAAAAGAAAAAAATGTATATATGGCACATATAATTTGAGTCCTTTCCAATATTCAATTTAACCCAGCTTGCATTAAGAAACACACAGAGAACTGATTCCAACTCTGCCAGTGGCCAGCTGTTTAGCCTAGGCAGTGCTAACTCACTGCTGGGTTAAAAAATGAAGGCCAAGTTGAAATAAGCAGAGAAGGGTAGAAGCCGGGAGTTAGGTGGTGTGAGGACTGATCTCCTATCTCATCATAGTTCTCTTTCTCTCTTGCTCAGGTACTTCTGTCTTCCCCTTCTTTTGTTTTGGCTCTAGGGAACCCAGCTGTATATATATGTCTTGACATCATGTCCACCTGTTTCTCTCAGCCAGGAAATCTGGTTTAGCTAATGGCACAAATCAAGTTCACACCTGTTCTCCTTATTGACCAAGCACCTTAGGAAACGACTTACAACAGGAAACTATTTATTTTGGCTAATAGCTTAAGAGGCTTCAGTCCCCAGTTACTTGTCTTCATTTTTTTCTGAGCCAGTTGTAAATTGGAATAACATAGTTGGGAGCATGTGGAGAAACCACTTACCTCATGGCAGCCAGGGAGCAAGAAGTTGGGAGGAGCAGGGACAAGGCACACTCTTCCCTTCAAGGGCTTGCTTTCTTGCTTTTTAATTTTTTTTTCTTTTCTTTTTTTTTTTTTTGAGACAGGGTTCTCTGTGTAGCTCTGGCTGTCCCAGAATTTGCTTTGTAAACCAGGTTGGCCTCAAACTCAAGTAGATCCACTTGCTTCTGCTCCCAGAGTGCTGGACTAAAGGCATGTGTTACCAGTCCCAGCTCAAGGGCATGCTTTCAATGACCTTCTTCCTCTAACGAGGCTCTACTTGGGAAGTTTTAACTACGTCAGATATTCCAAGTGGTTATGAGTCCATAAAGGGAATACAACTTTCATAGGGTCAAAGCCCTCGTGACCCAATCACCTCCCCAAGGCTGGGCCTCCAAGTGTTGCTGCCTGGGCATCAAGCTTCCAACACATTAGCTTTGGGGAAGGAGGTAGCTAAGATCCAAACTGCAACAGTTTGTAAGTAAGCACGTCTTCTCCTTGTGGCTCCTAATGGCTTTGTCTGCTAGTGAGGAAGGAGAAACAAGTGTCTCCATTCAGGTCTTGTTATGGAGAAGACAAGATGACTTTGACTAACACAGATAGGGAGGGGGACTGGCGAAGAGTGCCCTTGCTCTCATTATTCCAGGCTGTGTTTGGGTGAACCTCGTGAGTGTGCATCAGTGTAGTCATTGGCCTGGTTTGTAAGACAGAAGACAGGACTTGTAAAGGCACAGTGCAGTGCTGAAGCTGCCGCCTGTCCCACATCCACTGGCATGAACTCATGCCTGTGCTTTGTGCATTCTGTTAAGAACTTTGTTCAGTCCTCTCCTTCTTGATAGCTAAGAAAATCATGAATGTGAAATGTCTTTTGTAGCGAATTAGAATTTGTTGCAGTAAATTATTAATCAGTGCAAAAATGGGAGAATAAAAAATGGAAAATGCTGAGGAAATACTATATATTTTTAATGGATCAGTAGATAAACACCTCCATTTATCTTTGTGACTTCATTTTACCAGTAGCACTTTGAAGTGTAATTTATAGATTATGAAATTCCCTTACTAAATTAACATGTTGCCCTTATTAAAGGAAAATGTGTCTTTTTAGAGGCAAAGATGCATTTTGTTCTGACAAATAGGAAATTTATACATTTGTTTCATGGCTGACTACAAATTTGATTTCATGCCAACTCAAAAAAACACAACGTATGCTTTAGGGATTTGAAGTGCCTAAGATACAATAAATCTTACAGATGCAATTACCATAGCTTTTACCTCTTTTGTAGTTTATCATTCTGATGCTATAGTTAGAGAGAAATACAATGCCTGATGGCTGCATGTTTTACTTTATATCTCAGAGCATAAAAACCTCCATGGTTCATTTTAAAACTTTGAGGAAAATGGTACCCGTATGATTTAAAGTTTAAGTTTAGTTACCCTCTGCAAATTGCTTTTGGAAGTATAGATAATCAAAAATAAGAATAGTTTTAAATTTCAGATATAGATAGTATAATAATGGCTTTTTTAAATATAGAGATTTTATTTATGTAGATGCTGTGTGGAGCAGGAAAAGCAGGATTGCCTTTTACATGATTACATTTTTTCCCTTTTTTATTAATGAAAGTTATAGAGTCCCACACCCCCATTCCTATTCTGTTCCTTATTTATGAATACAGTACGTTGCTAAAAATGTATCAGATGTCATATACTTCCTGAGAAGCAATGCTGTCTTTTAAGCTTAGATCACCAAAGATACTTGTAGTCATTTCAGTGTTTTTTTCCCTGTCCAATAAAGGTATTTGCATAGGAAAGGTTTGAAATATACAAGTGAATATGAGTGTCAGCTCTTACATGTGAGTGGATTTTAAACGTGGATTTTGCAGGAAGCAGAGGGTGCAAACCCCTCTAGAAGTAGCTGCTCCCTGAAGCTTTACCTGGGTTGCACTGTGACCCAGCCTTACATTGGAGGTTCCTGAGCCGCAGCATGAAGATGCACAGCAGCAGGTTTTCATAACTCCACCTCTATCATTGTAGATGCACTCCAGCTGTAATCTATAACTCCTCTCATACCCAACGTGACTAACAGTAATCCGTGTCTACCTGAAGTTTGCAGGACCATGACTAGCTTACTGTGATACTGTTCAAAAGCCAGGAATTCATGTCTATCCATTTAACATACATTGTGTGGGTTCATGCTTAACCATTACTGGCCTAGTCATACATAGAGTTGAGAAATAAAATACTCAAAACATACCAGTGAACCCAAGTGGCTAGAAAATGTCTCTCAGGCTTTAGTCTCTGCCCCCAGAGGCTTTAGTCTCTGCCCCCAGCATGTGGGACACTGCTGAATACGGATCCCTTCACCATCCCTAGAGGTCTCATTGCACAGACTCAGAAATCTGCACTACGTTAACCAAGTAACGTAGGTGATTTTGAGGCATGTAGGGCTAAGTCTGTAGGAAACATTGATGTAGGAGATCTGCATCTGCATAGGCACATGAGTGGTGGAGGTGCAAAGGCCCCCCACAGGTGGGTACTGTGGTTGGCTTGATGTTCTTCTCTTGATGTCTTGGAATTCTTGATTTTTTGTGAGGAAAGGAGTCCTGTATTTCCTGAAAATTGTACCAGGTCTATAGACAAGTCTCTGCTCTCTGTGACTGGGATGCCTTGTCATGCATGAGTATGGTTATTAAGCAATACTTTCTTTCCTATTGGCATTAGACTGAGTCTCTAAGGTCTCTTCTAAGCTTTAAAGATGAACAGCTGTCATTCATCACAAGAGCCGGAATAGGAAATCATAGCCTACATTTTTCAGGGAATTAAAATGTAATTCCTTGTCTGAACACGAACACCTGCGTTTATGTTATCCTCACACACTTTTCTCCCCTCCAGGATGGAACGAAACAGAAAAGAGAGAGGAAGAAAACTGTGTCGTTCAGCAGCATGCCAACAGAGAAGAAGATCAGCAGTGCCAGTGACTGTATCAACTCAATGGTTGAGGGTTCTGAACTCAAAAAGGTTCGGTCAAACTCCAGGATTTATCATCGGTACTTTTTGCTGGACGCTGACATGCAAAGCCTGAGGTGGGAGCCATCTAAGAAGGATTCTGAGAAAGCCAAGATTGATATCAAATCTATCAAGGAAGTGAGAACAGGGAAAAACACAGATATATTCCGCAGTAATGGCATTTCTGAGCAGATATCTGAAGATTGTGCATTTTCAGTCATATATGGAGAGAATTATGAGTCACTTGATTTGGTTGCAAATTCTGCAGATGTTGCAAACATCTGGGTGACGGGACTCCGGTACCTGATTTCTTATGGGAAACATACACTTGATATGTTAGAAAGTAGCCAAGACAACATGAGGACTTCTTGGATTTCACAAATGTTTAGTGAAATTGATGTAGATGATCTTGGACATATAACTCTGTGTAATGCTGTACAATGTATCAGAAACCTCAATCCTGGTTTAAAAACAAGCAAAATTGAGCTTAAGTTCAAAGAATTACATAAATCAAAGGACAAAGCTGATACTGAAGTCACAAAAGAAGAATTTATTGAGGTTTTTCATGAACTTTGTACTAGACCTGAAATTTACTTCCTTTTAGTCCAGTTTTCAAGCAATAAAGAATTCCTTGATACCAAGGACCTTATGATGTTTCTTGAGGCAGAACAGGGTGTAGCACATATAAATGAGGAGATAAGCCTTGAAATTATTCACAAATACGAGCCATCCAAAGAAGGTCAGGAAAAGGGCTGGCTCTCCATAGATGGGTTCACTAATTACCTGATGTCACCCGATTGTTACATATTTGATCCAGAGCATAAGAAGGTCTGTCAGGATATGAAGCAGCCACTGTCTCATTACTTTATAAACTCCTCTCATAATACATACTTGATAGAGGACCAGTTCCGGGGCCCCTCTGACATCACAGGGTATATCCGTGCTCTTAAAATGGGTTGCAGGAGTGTTGAATTAGATGTGTGGGATGGGCCAGATAACGAGCCTGTGATTTACACAGGCCATACCATGACCTCTCAGATAGTCTTCCGCAGTGTCATCGATATTATTAACAAGTATGCATTCTTTGCTTCTGAGTATCCTCTCATCTTATGTTTAGAAAACCACTGTTCTATTAAACAACAGAAAGTGATGGTCCAACACATGAAGAAAATTTTAGGAGACAAGCTGTATACAACATCACCCAATATGGAGGAGTCTTACCTGCCGTCTCCGGATGTCCTGAAAGGGAAAATACTAATCAAAGCAAAGAAGCTGTCTTCAAATTGCTCTGGTGTGGAAGGCAATGTTACTGATGAAGATGAAGGGGCAGAAATGTCTCAGAGGATGGGGAAAGAGATCGTGGAACAGCCCAACCAGGTGCCCGTGAAGCGCTTTCAGCTTTGCAAAGACCTGTCTGAACTGGTCAGCATCTGTAAGTCAGTCCAGTTCAAGGAATTTCAGGTGTCCTTTCAGGTGCAGAAGTACTGGGAAGTGTGTTCATTTAATGAAGTGCTTGCCAGCAAATATGCCAATGAAAACCCCGGGGACTTCGTAAATTACAATAAGCGTTTTCTTGCCAGGGTCTTTCCTAGTCCAATGAGAATTGATTCGAGTAACATGAACCCTCAAGATTTCTGGAAATGTGGGTGTCAAATTGTGGCCATGAACTTCCAGACTCCAGGGCTGATGATGGACCTGAATATCGGCTGGTTTCGGCAGAACGGGAACTGTGGCTATGTTCTTCGGCCAGCCATCATGAGGGAGGAAGTCTCCTTCTTCAGTGCCAACACAAAGGACTCTGTTCCCGGAGTCTCACCTCAGTTGCTTCACATTAAAATTATCAGTGGCCAGAACTTTCCCAAGCCCAAAGGGTCAGGTGCCAAAGGTGATGTAGTGGATCCTTATGTCTATGTGGAAATCCATGGAATTCCTGCTGACTGTGCAGAGCAAAGGACAAAAACCGTGAATCAGAATGGAGATGCTCCCATTTTTGATGAAAGCTTTGAATTTCAAATCAACCTCCCTGAACTGGCCATGGTGCGCTTTGTAGTGCTGGACGACGACTACATTGGGGACGAGTTTATTGGCCAGTACACGATTCCCTTTGAGTGTTTACAGACAGGCTACCGCCATGTCCCTCTGCAGTCCTTGACTGGAGAAGTCCTCGCCCATGCTTCTTTGTTTGTCCACGTGGCCATCACTAACCGAAGAGGAGGAGGGAAACCTCATAAAAGGGGCCTTTCTGTGAGGAAAGGGAAGAAGTCCCGCGAATACGCATCTCTGAGGACACTGTGGATTAAAACCGTAGATGAGGTGTTCAAGAATGCCCAGCCCCCCATACGGGACGCCACGGACCTGAGAGAGAACATGCAGGTGTGTGTTCATGGTTAGATTTCTACTTGCATGTCTATGATTTCTGGATGTTTATTTTTTGCAATAGTAGATTTAATTTTAAATACTTTGAAATTACAACTGGTTGTTAGAATGTTTATTACTGGTCTCATTTCTCATCATTTTAACTTCCAAAACTGTGGTTGTTGAAATATTGATTGATGCTAGAATAAACTGGTCTTATTGCTGACTCACAAGCTGCTTACCTATGTTCCTATTATGACCAGTTAACAGCTTTTTTAAAAAATAGAGTTACATGGGAATCTCTGATGTTGTTGAATATTATTATTTCTTAGATGGAACACAAATTGATGACCTAGCAAAAGGTAGATTGATTAAAATAAAGGGATGTGTTACAGATCTTTTTTGTGGAGCTCTAGTGCTTGGAAACATTTAAATGAGCCATTGTTCTTTTGATTTTAGAGGATAGATAATTGTTTACATAAAATATTTATAGTAAATGTATTTATGAAAGTCTTAAGATAATTTGTTCTGAAATAACATGGTTCAGAGCAGTCTGTTAGGAATTGTATACCTGATAAAGGATGAGCCACACCTCTAGCTATAGACTAGATGTAATATATTGGTAAGCAATGTAGGAATAAACCCCTAGGGTCTCCCTTACAGAGAGTCCACAGCAGTGTGTGAGATGTGTTCTATGTTGTAGGTATTATAAGATGCTTGCTTATTTAAAAAATACTTGCTTTGTTTTGTATGTATGAGTATTTTGCCTGCATGTGTATCTTGGCACCACATCCATGCCTGGTGCCCACAGAGCCCAGAAGAAGGTATCGGATCCCCTGGAACGGGAGTTACAGATGGTTGTGAATTGCCATGTGAGTGCTGGGAATCAAACCCAGGTCACCTGGAAAAACAGCTAGTGCTGCTAACCACTGAGCTATCTCTCCATCCCATTTGTTTGCTCTTACGCCACTATTATAAAAATGATATTAGAAGTGAATCCTAACCCAGGAAACACTCACTATGTTTCCTATCTAATTCTGTAGCCATCTCTGGAATAAGAACAGTTGCCTGCAATAAGGACATCCATTGCCTTCCTCTCAAAGTCAGCGGATAACCAAAACTGGAAGGGTTCTCCATTGTTGAGGGCGCATGCATTTTGGCAAACTCTCAGTTCCAAATAAACCACATTGTCCCTTGCCTGTGGCTGTTGGTGTGCATATGGAACGTAATTCCTTTTGGGACTTGTTAAGGCTCAACCATCACACCTCCAGGGCTTGTCTGTGCTGAGCCCGCGAAGCCATCTGTAGTGGTGCTTAGTGGCGCACCGCTCTGCATCGTCAAGCAGGCTGTGAGAGTGTGCCGCCGGGAACCAGTAGATGGCAGCCTGCCCTCAGGGGACTTGTGCTGCAGTCAGGGGTGGGCGGTAGAAAGGGGAAATCCAGGCTGAGGTGACAGATGCAGGATGTGCTGTGAAGAACAACAAGGAGTTACCACAGACTGCTGGGGAGTACACTTTAGATAGCCTAGTAATGCACCTCCGTACATGTCACAAGATGAGTTTGAACAAGATCATCCATAGCTTGATGGCCGTGGTTAAAGCAATATTAATTAAAATGAAATGTTTTAATTCAAAACTTATTCCAGAACATGGATTACTTAGGAGCCTAGATCTCTAGATCTGCTTCTTCTGGCCACCTGCTCTGTCCACACAGGGCACAAGCATGCCTGGAGTCACACTTATGACTCATACTCTGACTAGGAAAAAAAATTCCCTTTATATATGTGTATATACTTATAACACACACACACACACACACACACACACACACGCACGCACGCACGCACGCACGCACGCACGCATGTATAGATATGGGATTTTTAGAATGGCTTACAGGTGTGGTCCAATTAGTCCAACAATGGTTATCTAACAATGGAAGGTCCAAGAATCTAGTGATTGTTCAGTCCAGCAGACTGGATGTCTCGGCTGTTATTCAGTATACACCAGAATCCTGAAGAAGTAGGCTCTAATGCCAGTGAAGGAATGGATTTGCTAGTGAGAGCAAGAGCAAGCCAGCAAAGAAAGAGAAAGCCTCCTTCTCCCATGCCCTTTATATAGATTTCCAACAGAAGGTGTGGCCCAGATTATCTTCTCAAGAGATCTGGATTAAAGTTTATTTTCCCACTTCAAGATCCAGATTAGAAATGGGTCTTCAGCCAGGTGGTGATGGCAGGCAGATCTCTGAGTTTGAGGCTAGCCTGGTCTACAGAGTGAGTTCCAGGGCAGCCAAGGCTACATAGAGAAACCCTGTCTCAAAAAACAAACAAACAAACAAACAAAAACAAGTGGGTCTTCATATTTCAAATTATTTAATTAAGAAAAAACTCCCTCACAGGTGGGCTCAGCCATTTCTGTTTTAGTTAATTCCAGCTGTGGTCAAGTTGACAACCAGGACTAGCCATCACAGTGACCCAGAAGGGCCTCTTTTCTATTTTGCAGAATGCAGTGGTATCATTCAAGGAGTTGTGTGGCCTCTCGTCGGTGGCTAACCTCATGCAGTGCATGCTGGCTGTGTCACCTCGATTCCTGGGGCCTGACAACACCCCCCTGGTGGTCTTGAATCTTAGTGAGCCCTACCCCACCATGGAGCTGCAGGCCATCGTGCCTGAGGTTCTGAAGAAGATTGTAACGACTTACGACATGGTGAGTCCTGTTGGTCCTGTTCCTAGGGAGGAGGGTGTTTTAGGGTACCACACCAGATGTAAGCAGCAGCTTTTGCTGACCTGTTCTTTCCTGTCTCATGCATCATGTGCTTATGCTGGAAGAGTGTCTCCTCTCACTTTGTTGTCCTTGAAAAAGTTTCATGTTAGCCAGGCGGTGGTGGCTCACACCTTTAATCCCAGTACTCAGGAGACAGAGCAGGCACATCTCTGTGAGTTCGAGGCCAGCCTGGCTTCCAGAGCAAGTTCCAGGACAGCCAAGAACAACTAAGGCTACACACACACACACACACACACACACACACACACACACACACACACACACACACACAAGTTTCATATTGTATTGTTGTGTGAGAAAGCAGGGTTCAGAGACTCTTTCCTCAGACTAAACATGAACTTCCTAAAAACTGAATCTGAACGAACTTCTCATGGATGCTCTGTGTCTTACATGTATGTGATTAAACCAAACAAACAAACCCTTTTATCCTGTCTTGGAACTAGTCATTGATTTATTTCCCCTCAACCCAGTAAAGTATTGAATTTGATATTTTGGAAGATGAGTTTGGAATCCCATCAAGGGCAGGTGCTCCCATGCTACTAGGTGGTGGTTACCTTCCTCAAGGCAGCTGCTCCTCAAGTTATCTTCAAGACACCTGGAATATTACAGTTTTGCCTTTAAGATTTATCTTGCATATTCTTAATCGCATGCTGCTCTCTTTTTGTGCTCTTATAATTTTTTATAACTCCAAGGGAGATTTTTTTCTATTGTGTGTTCATATGTGAGGGGTGGAGGGCGATTCAGCACGCGCCGTATCGTGTATGCCAGCTCAGAGGACAGCTTTCGGGACTTGTTTCTCTCCTACTGTGGAATCCAGTGACTGACCTCATGTCCTCAGGCTTACAAGGCAGAACTTTTAAGCACTGAGCCATTTCACTGGCCTGCTAAGGAAGAATTTAATTTGTGAGCAGCACTTACTTCAAATTCCTAAAGTAGGTGAGGATGTTAGAACTGGCTGTGTGATCAGCAGTGACTTCTTAGTCTGGCAGTGTGGACATTCTTCTCTGGTAGGGCATTGAGGATATTCAGGATAAGTGTCCCTGGAAACACTAGATAAGGCCAAAGAAAACGAAAATGAAGTTTCCTCTGGTACATCTTCTGTGCTTGAGAGAATAGGATCGGCATCCTTCATCCTCTCTAAAACATTTTGACTGTTTGGGTCTGAAAGCTGTAATTTAAAGGAGTTTAGGTGATTCAGGGAAATAGAGACATCTTGGGTGAACATTTCCCGCCCTGTGTTATGAGGAATCCTGCTTTTTTCCAATATTAATAAACATGCAATGCAGGAAAGGGTGCATAGAGAAGTAATTTGGAGAAATAATCCTCTGAGTGAAACTAACCAGACGTCATTACTGCCCTTTTTTTTTTCAGTCATTCCAGGACACCAGCCCATAGGATGGAGCCACCCACAATCAGGGTGGCTTTTCCTTCCCTTGTTAAACTTCCTCATAGACAAACCTAGGGATGTTTCCATGGTGATTCTAAACCCTACCAGGTTGAGAGTGAAGATCAGCCATAACAGTAGTCACACTGTATACCAAGTGTTCATCCTCCCTCCCATTTCAGCCTAGATCTCATGGAAACTTAAGACATGCAAGAGACCGAGCATTTCCTGCTCGAGACAAGCTGCAGACAGCCTCATCTACTGCAGGAAATGCTTAGTTCTGAAGAGAAGGTTAAACACACCCAAGAGAGCAGAGGAATAACCAATTCCAGAACATTTAATCAAGAAAGGTATAATAAAACACCATGAAAGCAACAAGATGACAGGAATGAATAGACTGTTCAGTAATAACTCTCATTATTAATGGTGTCAATCCCCAATTAAAAGACACATACTAACAGATTGGACTGCAAAACATCCAATGAAATAAAAGAAGGAACTGTTTAGGAGGCCCCAGGCAGTGGGAACGGGACCTGTCCTTGGAGCGTGAGCTGGCTTTTTGGAACCTGGGGCCCATGCTGAGACACTTTGCTCAGCCTTGGTGCAGGGAGGAGGGGACTAGACCTGCCTCAATTGAATCTGCCAGGCTGGGCTGACTCCCCTTGCCTTGGAGGAGGTGGGAATCAGGGGATGGACTAGGGGGGGAAGCTGGGGGGTGGGAGGAGGGAGGAGGGAGGACAGGGGAATCCGTGGCTAATATGTGAAATTAAATTAATTATAAAATAATATTTAAAAAAACAAAATTTTTTTAAATAAAAAGCCTAGGGCCATATGTATTTAATGTACAGTTCTACCAGACTGCCAATGAACCAGCACCAGTTTTTATTCCATAAAATAGACAATGAAGAAATACCTCCAAGTTATTTTTAATTATTTTTTTGAGATTAAGGAAAACTTCCATTAGCCACACATCTGACAGAAGGTTAGTATCTAGAGTATACAAAGAATTAAAAAAATAGGCCGGGCGGTGGTAGCGCACGCCTTTAATCCCAGCACTCGGGAGGCAGAGGCAGGCGGACCTCTGTGAGTTCGAGGCCAGCCTGGTCTCCAAAGCGAGTTCCAGGAAAGGCGCAAAGCTACACAGAGAAACCCTGTCTCGAAAAACGAGAAAAAAGAAAAAAGAAAAAAAAAAAGAATTAAAAAAATAGAAACGTGAAGGGAACAATCAACCCAGTTCAAAAATGGGCTTGGAACTAAACAGAGGTCTCAAACTGAAATATAAATAGCTGGGTTTGTGTTTTTAACCACTAATCGTTCACCATTCCTAGCCATCAGGGAAATGCAAATTAAAACGGTTTTGAGATTTTATGTTACTCAGTCAGAATGGCTAAGAACCACAAAGCAAACAATATCAGTGCTGGCGTGGATGTAAGGAAGGGGGCGCTTACTCACTGCTGGTGGGCAGTAGCTGGTAAAACACTAGACACTTGAATCATAGGCTGTGGAGAAATCAACTTTCTACTCTAGCTGTCTTTCTTAGTGCTAGAAGGTGCCAGAAGAGAAAATAGTCATAGATTTCACCTAGCTACAAACTTTGCAAGCTATAACAATGACTGGTGTGACAAGATATGCTCATGGGGCAATAGAGGCATGAATTCGTTATGGCAGTAACCAAACACTTTCTGATGTGATTTAAGGCCCACTTCATAAGATGGAACCCATGCATCACATCCTACTCAGGGCCAGGAACCTGTGGCTGGATGGGCCCTACTACTATTGTTGTGCTAAATGGACATAGTATTAAACCAGCCCCTAATGAGTCGTTGCTGTACTCACAGATTAGTGCATCTCTCAACACTCAACAGAAAAGCTTCTTTTTTAGAGATGGTGAATATCACATAGAATCACAATTTGTCAAGGTGCAGAGAATAAGATACTATAGAGTACTTAGTACTCTAGTACTTAGTACTGAATGGGACATCTATAACACACCCCCTTCTGCCAAGACTCGGGGATATTTCAGAAGAGGAGGTAGGAAGATTGTAAGAGCTAGAGGCAGTAGATGCTACACCAGAGCAGTGTTCTCCAGACACAGCAGGATAGTTGCACATGTGAACTCACAGTAGTTGTGACATCATGCTCAAGATAGTCGCAATCTCAAGATTGACAGAGGAGGAAGGTGGTCATGAAGTCTCACCCACTGCTGAAGAACTGTTGGTAACTAATAGCTCCTAGGACAGGGAGAATTTGCTTTCTTCAAGCATGTGATCCTGGTAAGTGGAACATGATACAGTGGATGGCCATATGCCCGAACACTGATTGGGTTGGATGTGTTTAAAAAATGTACTGACACAAAATTTGGTGGTATGGAATGAGTGGTGGATTTTAGGGAGTTGGAAGAGAGGTGCATATGATCAAAATATAATGCATAAAATCTCAAAAAATTAATCAAAAATATATTTAAAAAAATAGGCCAGGATCACGTCTATCTGAAGTCATTGGTGATTGAGGGTTCTTTGTATTTCTGGTTTTTGTTTGTTTTGTTTCTTTTTTTGAAAGAGGTAAAGAAAACATAAAGTGGGTGAATAGGAGTGTGGGGGATGGTCTGGGAGGAGGTGGGGGAGGAGAAACATGATCAATATGTTGTGTGAAAAATTGTTCTTTAAATATGTGAAGTGAAGGCTTTTCTTCACACAACTGTTGATGGCACGGAGAGCAGCAGCCTTCTGTGTGTGCCACAGATACGGGTTTGTGTGCCTTCTCTTGCTACCACAGCACTCGGTGAGGAGATAAGTCACGTCTCAGAGTTAACTCAGCCTGCTACTCTGAATCAAGACAGGTGATCTGCAGTAAGACTACTGCTGATTCTCATCTCCTTCATGACTCCTTTTGCCACTCATCTCGAAGAGCTGCTTTCAAGTAGAGGAGATGCCTTTATCAACATGAAAAATGTGGGAATAAAAGAAAGAAAGAATGTTAACTGTTTAGAACACAACTGACCTAAAGAGAGGGAAGAGGAGAGAAAGGGGGAGTGGAGGAGAGATAATTTGGAATATGAGTGCATCTTGCAAAAAGATCAGATACCCATAGTTTGTAGTTTAATTTGGTGGCTGGAGAGGCTCAGCAAGTGATGTCCCCTCCAAAGTGGACAAGAGCTGTTTATAAGATGGTGTGATGACCGAATCACACGTTGTCATCTGGGGCAGGGACGTTGGAAACTTCACGGCTCACACACCGGTGACTATATGACTCTTTCTGATCCAGTTTTGTAGCTTTATGTGTCTTTACAGAAACCATCATATGAAAACTATGTGGTCTCCCTCATGTACAGAATCACACAAATAATTTGTACATACATAAACAAATGTACCTATGATAGAGGTTAACCTAAAAAAGAGAACAAGAGCCGGTGATGGTGGCGCACGCCTTTAATCCCAGCACTTGGGAGACAGAGGCAGGCGGATCCCTGTGTGTTCGAGGCCAATGAATTCTAGGATAGCCAGAATAGGACTGTTACACAGAGAAATTCAGTCTTGAA